TTCACCCTGAAAACATGAAGTGTGAAAAATTAATTATCTGGAGAGTTTCACACTATTGAGTAGCTCACACTACTAACTAGTGTAGCTCAGAGAAACTGTCTTGAACTAACTAGACTTTGGCTTTAGTCCATCACAGCAATTCCTACGTGTCCATCCTTGCCCTCATGGATCATACATAATTTTCTTGTAGGATACCTAACACAGAGCACCCCATAGCTTTTGGAAGTCCCTTCAAGTTGATTGTATTTTTCAGGCTTTCCCCTTCATCTTTGTTCAGGATGCAAGTGAGAAAAGCATGCTGGCTTTACTTGCGTGTATTTCCCATGTTGATTCTAGCATAATTTGTTTCTTTGTACAGCAGATCCATTTGATTTCATGGGGTGGTGGTGAAATCTCCCCAGCAAATTCTCAGTAATTTTAGAAAAAAATAAGTCCTTATTTTCTCTGGAGTCAGTGAGGCTACTTACTCCATTGCCTCCCCTAAGTGAAGTTCGAAGATTAAAAAAAAATGTGCACATACTTGGGAAGAGAAAGTTTGCTTAGGACTGGAGGTCTGTTTTTGTATTTTTGCTCAAGGAAACAGGGATTTTTTGAAAGCTACTAAGTTGCATTAAAAAAAAAATCCTAATTTGGCTTTTGTGTTCTTTTTTAAAGCATTTGACTGGAAGTGCCAAGTGTGGTGTTAACACATTGTGTGAGGAGTAAAGGGGAAGGAACATGTGCCAAGGTCACCTCCTCAGCAGTCGCCACGCCAAGCTTCACAGCAGTGATATAAAACCTCCCTCTGATACAAGATACCACTTATAACTACTTTTTAAGAGCTATAAAAATACAGAGCAGACACATATTAATTAAAGTAGTTCAGAGAGAAGCTCTGCGTGTCTGTCTTGGCAGTGGGTGACTGAAGGGCACATAGCACGTAGTGGAGCAGGACATCCATGCATAGAGTTAGCTAAAATATTTGAGATTTTATCACTTCTGGGTTTGTCAGTGGGCAGCACAGATGGTTTGCAGCTGAGGAGCCAGTCAGTGTGCTGCTAAGAGAGCAATGTGACCTGTGTCGAGAAGCAGTGCATACTGTAAGGAAGCTTTTCTTCATGACTAGCACAAATCTCCTTCATTGTAATTTAAGACAATAACCTCCTGTCCTAGCTAGACTAGAAAGCACATCACAAAAATCCCTCTCTTCTTCAGCACAACATGTTTCTTATTTACCTCTGTCCCTCCATTTTTTTCCCTAAACAAGACAAACTCAGTTCTTCTAAACTTTGCTCATAAGCTACATTTCCATACTGATGTTCCCTGCAGAGCACAGAACTCACCTTCCAGAGTGACAAGTTTTCATCAAAAGAGGCAATGATGAGGACAAGAACACATTCAGGCTGTTCCTTTCCCTTTAAGTTTAGGGCCAGGTAGGCCAAGAGACCATCAAGGTTAGTAGCTGAGTGCCAACCCACTAGCTATGGCCATTTCTCTTCCTTGTCCCCTACTACAGCCCACCATGAGAATAAGCTTTTCCTGTGAATACTGACTGGACTGGACACAGCTAGCAATGAAACACATCCAGCAAAAGGTTGGTGGCTAACAGGAAGTCTTTCTGGTTTTAACTGGTGATTATTCCAATTGAGTGAAATACAGATAATCCACATTTTTTAGCTCTTATGTTTAACTACCTGTATTTACTCACCTGCTGGCTTCTTTGTCCAAAATCAGAGCAGGCCTTACACACTCCAATATTTCACTATACACTGGAAACCTTGAAAGCAGCAGAGCATAACTGGGGCATGGAGCCAATGGGGCCAGAGCCCAGTGCCAGTAAGAGTCCCAGTGCCCATTTGCAAGGCAGGGAAAAAAAGGGTATTTGGGTATTCTTGAAGATATGACATTCACCATCACCTATGGTGCACAGAAGATGTACTTGAAGGCAGTTTTCTTCTCCATAAACACTTTGTCAAGAGACAGACAGTCTAGTCTGATGTTTCCAGAGCTCTGTAAAGATTTCTTAAGTTCCAATTTTACTGCTTGGACTGACTCTACTTCTAGTATGGAGAAAGTATCTGTAGAATGGAGATGGTCTTGAAAATATCAGCACAATGCTTTGAGACATGCAGCTGAACAACATCTAGTCTTGCTACTCATATATCACAGGAGAAACAAAGGGAGACAGAAGATAGCATAAAGCTTTTAAAACATATGGAAGACATTATCTAAATAGCAAAACTATGACATGAAACTATATACACATGCTTACAGCTCAGATCTGAACACTCCATAGCCCTTGCTAGATAAGTAAGGATAATGATTTTTTTTTTTTTTTCATAGTGCACTGAAGGGGTGTCCCACTCATATTTTCACATGCTCCAGCAGTCAGACAGTCTCTCTGCTTTTATTTACAGCTAGAAGTCCTGGACAGAGTCACGGCACAGAGGAAAAAGGAAAAGCAACTGGCAGATCTCAGCTAATGCAAAGTACTGTCTGACATTTTTCAAAGAACAATCACTTGCAAAGAACTTGCTGTTAATCACTGTGAAACAGATACACTTCAGATCCCCACAGAGCATGATACAATGTGAAGCAGCTTCTTGGAGCAGCAGGGTTTTCTGTGAAGGGAGGTTGGACATGCAGTTTTTCTCTTAAGCCTGCATTTCTGACAGCTGCCTAGTACCCTTTTCACAGGCTTGTCAAATTCATGCCGAGATATATAAACACCTCATTTTTTCCTTCTTTTTTGCAATCTTTTGCTTTCTTAAGAAAAGAAAGATGGAAGCCATATTTCCTACCATCTATAGATGAAGCAGAAATTTTTCCTGTACAAAAAAATGACTTGTTATCTGAAGATGACATCTCTATGTCACAGTAAAAGCCTCCATCCTCTTTTTTTTCTGTTTTCTTTAGTCCCCCCATCTCAAAGCTGAACTTATCCAATAGCTTGCAAAGAAAAGTAATAAGAGAAACATGGTTTTGCTTTGTTTCCTGGCGACCAACACCACTGAGACCCCAGGTAGCATCACACTGGCTAATTCAAGACAGAAACAAGTTCCATTACAGTTAAGTGGCAAGAAAGGATGCAGCACAGAAAATCCTTGCCAGAGCTGCATGCTCTTCATGGTAGAATTCACAGTGATAGAGGAATATGTTTTGATTAAGAGAAATTATGTTCCATGCATGTTTATTTGGCTTTT